ATAATGACTTTTCAAACATTCATTTAAGTAATTTGGACATTTTTTTATATTTAATTAATGAACTATGCATTTTAATTTAAACAATCTTTTAAGTATCATTTTTAATATATAGATGTGAAAAATGTGATTTGCAAACACATCATGCACGTTAATATTTGCGTTTTTCAGAAAAACCACTTTCCCAAGCTCCTATCGCTGTGAAACTGCCTAAATAGCGTTTTCAGCGCCTAATGAGCACAACTCTGTTAGGACACACGTCTTTAGTATTAATCCATTTTGTTCAATCATAGTTGCTGAATAATGACTTTTCAAACATTCATTTAAGTAATTTGGACATTTTTTTATATTTAATTAATGAACTATGCATTTTAATTTAAACAATCTTTTAAGTGTCATTTTTAATATATAGATGTGAAAAATGTGATTTGCAAACACATCATGCACGTTAATATTTGCGTTTTTCAGAAAAACCACTTTCCCAAGCTCCTATCGCTTTGAAACTGCCTAAATAACGTTTTCAGCGCCTAATGAGCACAACTCTGTTAGGGGACACGGCTTTAGTATTAATCCATTTTGTTCAATCATAGTTGATGAATAATGACTTTTCAAACATTCATTTAAGTAATTTGGACATTTTTTATATTTAATTAATGAACTATACATTTTAATAGGAACAATCTATTAAGTATCACTTTTAATATATAGATGTGAAAAATGTGATTTGTAAACACATCATGCACGTTAATATTTGCGTTTTTCAGAAAAACCGCTTTCCCAAGCTCCTATCGCTTTGAAACTGCCTAAATAACGTTTTCAGCGCCTAATGAGCACAACTCTGTTAGGACACACGTCTTTAGTATTAATCCATTTTGTTCAATCATAGTTGATGGATAATGACTTTTCAAACATTCATTTAAGTAATTTGGACATTTTTTTATATTTAATTAATGAACTATGCATTTTAATTTAAACAATCTTTTAAGTATCATTTTTAATATATAGATGTGAAAAATGTGATTTGCAAACACATCATGCACGTTAATATTTGCGTTTTTCAGAAAAACCACTTTCCCAAGCTCCTATCGCT